TATATCATTGTTCTATTTAAGGTACTATATATCATTGTTCTATTTAAGCTACTAGATATCATTATTATATTTGAACTCGTAGATAGAATTATTCTATTTGAACTAGTAGATATTATTATTCTATTTAAGATATTGGATATATTTTTTCTACTTAAGGTGTTAGATACGTTTATTCTATTTAAGCTACTATATATATCATTATTCTAGTTAATATAGTAGATATCTTTTTTTATAATTAAGGTGTTAGATACGTTTATTCTATTTAAGCTAGTGGATATATTTTATTATACTAAATGACAACAAGTTACAGGCTTATCTTAACTTTAGATAAATCGATTCAACACGTTGAAACATACAGCCGAGTGGATATAGAAAGAAGTGGGTCTTTACCGCTAGAAGTCCTTATTAGATACCCACAAGCGAGCTATCAATGTACCTTTTTAATTAAACAAGTACAAGGAACGTCATCAACGCAACACTGACAAGATTATTTATTTTATGAGGTGAAAAGTAAGGTTCTATTATAATTCTACTATTTTTTAATTACATTATAGTTTGACCGGTTTCATGTGTTGATTTCATGAGAATTTTATTAGCTATTTATTGTGTTTATTGTGTGAATAGCTTAACATTTTGTGATTCTCTGACAAAAATCATTATATTTGTTTGTCTTACCGTTGATAGCTTCTTTTAAAACCTCACAGAGATTGATGCTCAATAATATATTTGAATGGTTTAAGTCCTTTTGCTGAAAAAACGTACTCCATACTTTACATGGTTAATTTACATATTAAGTGAAAAATTAAATTTGGGAGTTTTCCAGAAATCATAAGTAACCTCACAATCATAACATATGAATAAATAACATTCATGAAAGTTTTATTCATATAATTTATAAAAGGTCATATATCTAATCAGTATTAAGAAAAGAAATATCGTCCTGTTAATTACAAACTATGCGTTTGAAAAAAAAACAACCAAAAAAACAATAATTGCTATATTTATGCATTATATACTTATTACTCATTATTTGCTTATATGGAACAGGCATCATTAAGTTATAAGTTACAGTTTCGTTCTGATTATAGTTTACGTTTACTTATTATGTTTGGATCATTTCTTATTAATTTAGCATAGAGAGTAACATTCTTATTTGTTTAATATAAATATGAAAGTATACAAGCTAGCTCAGTCACGTGTATCTGAAACATAACTTGTTGTTAACCCTCAGTACACATGTAGACGCTTCTAACATCCCCGAAATTTGCAAAACAAAACAGGGTGCTAACAGATTTATTTGCTGTAAGATATTTTCACCATATCTGATATTTACTTTATTTTGTGCAATACAGTATCGGAAAAACGATCTTATAATTTCATTAATTTTCATAGAAGCTTGTAAGTCTTGAAACATTTGCCTCCTAGTCACACAGCGGAAAGTATGCGGATTTATAATGCTAGATACCCGTAGTAGGCACAGCACAGAGAGCACATTGTGGAGTTTTGTGCTTAACTACAAACAAACAAAATTATTGTTACCTATATATATATATATAGTGTAAAATATGTCACTAGAATATGTCCTCCCTACAAGACTTCCTATGTAGATTTCTTATAACATTTTGTAATTGATTGATCAAAGAGATGTTTGTCCACAATTTACAAGTCAAAAAACATTATAATAATAATGTCCTAATTCACCTAATTTTCTATAGAAATGTGTGGGCTTGCTAACGAACTTCTTATAGAATTCTATTAAAACCTGTATACAATTTCTATAGACAACCTTCCATAAGGGTGTATAGAAAAAAAGAAGTCATTTTTTTCTACAGACTTTCTAATGACATCCTTTTAGACTTTCTATACAAACTTCATTTGTCGTTTCTATATAAAATCTATAGAATTATTTATAGAGTTTCCATAGAAAACATTTTAAGGGCCGTGGGTGTGTTATTAGAGTAATGATCAAATTCTAATATTGAGATAGCGGTAGGAGCTGTTTACTTGTCAGTCTATCAGTTCAAAATAATGAACTGTTATAATAAAAACATGGTAATACCAAAAACATCTTTAATATGAACGTTTCGGGAGTTTCTTGAATTCCATGATTAGCGTTAATATCTAAAAAAAAGTTAGTTCATAATATTCGAACTACAAAAAATAACAGTAGCATTGAACGAGTTTTCGTATTCAATAGGTAGTTTAGAAAGAACAGATTTAAAAGGTAACAATATAATGGAATGTTCGATAAAACGAACTCTTTATTAAAGAAAGCCTCTCCGTTATCAATTATTCCCCAACACTAAATAATAACGTTAACTCCTCCTTGTTGTCATTAATGTAATTAATTCCAGATTTTCATTGTTTCATTTGATATTTATTATTATTTTATACACTTATACTTAAGCTTTCCTCTATAATAGTTTATCTTAACAATGTTGTTTATTAAACATGTGTATGCCGCACGTTTTATTATGACCGTTCAAATCTGTTCTTTCTAAACTTCCGAATGAATACGAAAACTCGTTAATGTTGTTTTTTTTAGTTCGAATATTATGAATTAACTTTTTTGAGATATTAACGCTGATGATGGAATTTAAGAAAGTTCAGAAACGTCCGTATTACAGATGTTTTTGATATTACCGTGTTTTTAATATTTATTATAAGATTCGTTTTCCGCCTGATGAATCAGTTGCAACTAGACTGTTACATAATAAAATCGCGTGAAAATTCTAAAACAAACAAATATGCTGATGTTAGCTAAAAACGTGTGTGAGCCTGGAGAGACATTAGCCTGGAGCAAGCACCAGTGGAAGGAAGAGTTAGAGACACACAGACACATTATTTATTTATTAAATTAATATTTCAAGGACAACATTTATTAAATAATGAAAAAGCGTAAATACATTATTATAGGAATAGAAGGTGCTATTACCGTTTATACAACCTAATTTAGTATCAGTGATCCGTTACTATCAAGTGGTAAAAAAATGCATTTGCAAGTTTCTTTTTCTTATTTTCAACATCTTCTTGTGTGTTCTAGAAAAAAAAAGTCATTAGGATTAGCCCTAAAAAGATTTAACTTAGAATAAAGTAAGATATTTACGAGTACTACAGAGTGCCCGTAATGATCAGACATTGTTTGTCACGCTTTCAGATCAATACGAAACGTATTGCTAAGTATGCTAACATCACCTTCAGTATTAAGATAGGGAGGAAAAGATTATGCTGATAAAAGTATAACGAAAAAAATATTACCCGATTTATTGTGTTAATTTAATACATACTATTTATAGACAATTAATTTATTTAAATTTTGTTTATAAAGGCACTTTGATGGCGCATTCTTTCATAGAAGTACGTATTATGATTTTGAATGTTTGTGTATTATCTGAAATATTGCATATGGCTATTTTCAACAAGATTACTCTATACTTTATAAATCAAAATAAATGTGTAGGATAACACTTAAACAAGTGTGTCGCATTATGGGGATATACTAAAATAAATGTGTAGGATAACATCTAAACCAGTGCATCACATTATGGTTATATATCTAAGTGTGTAAGATAACATTTAGAACAAGTGTGTCACATAATGTGGGGATATACTAAAATAAATGTGTAGGGTAAATTTTAAACAAGTGTTACATTATGGGGATAAAAAAAAACAGGTATAAAGAATAGCCTTTAAAGAAGTGCGTCACATTATGTAGATATACTACAATAAATGTGTAGGATAGCATTTAAACAAGTGGGGTCGTATTATGGGGATAAACAAAAAAGTAAATATAAATGATAGCATTTAAACAAGTGCGTCACATTATGAGGATATACTAAAATAAATGTATAGGATAACATTTAAATCAGTACATCACATTATTTGGATATACTAAATAAAT